TAACGTAATTATTTTGGTATAATAAAATTATTTTCAAATCTGTATCTACCTTTTAAATTTTTAGATATTTTTGTAAAATCATTCTTTCTATGCGGATATACTAATATTTTCGTTTGCGATATTTTTCGGGAACAAAACGCTTAGTCGTGATGGTTGTGGTAATGCCAGGGTTAATATACCTGCGAAAGTTATGCGTACAGGTAGTCGCATATTTCTTCAGTGTTTACCCAGGCACGTTGCTTTTCTGCGGAAAGAGAGAGTTGCAACACAATACGACGCGTCATTGTTCTTCAGCAATTGCACGGCAGAGTGTCAGCTCGACTTTCCTTTTTTCCTGCTCGTAACACCAAGATAAGAGCTCATGCACGCATGAGAAATGAGTCCAAATTAGTTTCGTCTACTTGTTGCGTTTTGTCATAGATATTCCCATAAAGTACAATAAAGTATACTTCCATATATATTTCCTTACGTCACTTGTTAGAAACCGTAACTCTTGTTACTATTTTACAGTACATTGATAATAAATGAATATAGGAGAAACCGTTGAAGCGATATCTCTCGTTAGCAAAGAAATTAAACCAGCACGATGGCTTTAAATTTAACGCAAAGACTTTCGCGGCATGTCCTAAGTAATAGCTCGATACGTTTGTCCGAGAAGCTTTCAGAGCGGCAAAAGATGCGGGTTTAGAAACGACCATTTTATTTATGGCTCATTCACACGTATGAAGGCGACACGCTCACTTTCTGGAGCTTAATGGACCGTGAGAGCGGACATCGGACTATCTTCTTTCGAAGAGTCTTCGACTTTCAAGGGTGTTCGGCTCGACAGCTTCCCAAGAATGTACTTTTTCGACCAGAAAACCAAGGGTTTATGGAGAGGAAACCTAAACAGATGTTCCGACACTGTAAACTGATGAAACATCTGTTGATTGTGTTCTTCAAACATTCGCATATTATAAAATTCTCGAGTCGAATTAACGATGGTGTCTTTCGAAACCTCGTTTCGATCATAGAGCATCGCGCGAGTTTTAGTAGAAACTTTATGACCTCTTTCGCAATTGGAGTAATTAACATTTTCAAATGATAATAATTGTTGGCGCAATCGATACGCGTGGCTGCTTTTTAAAAAAAAATTGAAGATCCACTTTGCGGAGGAGTTTGCTGATGAGTCAGTACTTCGTAACGCGTTCGTGGAAAAATCTCACGCGTACAGAGCTTTGTCGGCATAGACAAATGGAATGACCATGAATTTATGGTGACTCACTATGACTGGCGTGAAAATCATTACACGTTTAGAGAAAATACCACGTCATTTGTAACATTCATACAATCCGCGAAAAACCAGGCATTATTTGATTCCATTCATCTTTGCTTCATAACTTTTAATGATAATCTCGGATTAAGCGAAAGTCGATTGGTATTGAAAACTCTGATAAAAAAAATTGTAATGGAAAATAATATATGATCTGTAACAGTAGTATGAATATCTCTTGTTGTTTATTTATTATAAATCACACGAATTGTTTTCATAATTTTCGCCTTTATAAGGCGATTTTAATATCTGCCTGTGTATTGTGTAATAAAAATTTACAATAACATTGCTGCAAATTTGCAGTGTTATTATAAGATTTTATGCTGTATGATACTAAACTCCTTTTACGAAAATTATAAAGACAATTCCCGCAATTTATAATAGAGAAATAATAGGAGATATTTATGCAATATTGCTGGAACATTGCAATGCAGCTGCAATATTGTTGGAATGGTCTATACCGTATAATATCGCATGATTGATACAAAATATTACAAAATTAATTTGAAAATTGTTTCGGCCTATTCCTCGTTTATTGATGTAATCAGAAAATGAGAAAATAGTCCTGCCAGTTAGGTAAGTACATCGCTCTACAGATTGTAGCAATTGCGACATTATCGTACATCATCAAATCATTTTACTGACGGAATAATTATAATCTTGATGCAAATTTCGTTCCGAGAAAACAGCGGCGCTTTCCCAATGATGTACCGCGAGATTTTATTCAGCACTCGAGAGATATGGGATTCATAAATAACGCTGTTTTCTAGCTGTCCAATGCAGAACGCAGAACATTACGAAATTCTTCTAGTCTTTATGGATTATCATATATCATGTCCGAGGTCGCGCAAATATTGCACAAATTCGTGAGTATTTCAAGCTGAACGCGTATTATTCTGGCGCTATTATGACAAATGAGTCCGACGACCCTCTTGCACCTATGATAATTGTTGAGACTAATTTTCCTCAAGTTGTTTGAGACTAATTAGAATTAGACTCTCCATTGTTGTCTGTCGTAATAATGGCGACAACGCAAGAAAGCGAAACGAGTGGGGTTACCTAACATTCGATGGGGAACAAAAGGTTAATCGACGAGATTGTTTGGGCGAGTCATTTTCGTCCTGACGAAAAGATATATTTCCAGTTAAAGGGTGTGTCGTAGGTCGTTATTTTATTCGTCGTCACGTCCAATAATGAATTTATCCACGCGAAGAAAAAATGCAGGTAAAGAATCTTACAGCATGGTGTAAACACCGATTACTAGCTTATACTATCAATCAGAAAAATTCCAGGCATTTCATCGATCGTATTTTTCCAATAGTGCATATTTTCTTAAAAAACTCATAAATGTCCTTAAAAAATTGTTATAATAACTTTTGAAAAATATACCTAATGGAGACGCTTAGTATAATTACTCGAAGCCATCAAGAAATTCAACGGCAGTTAATTAATTATTAATTTCAGAAATATTACAATCTTTTATACACAGAATAAATGGATTGTTGAAAGAGCAATTTTTCCGCAATTTAATATTGCCGACAGGAGCAGGAAAATGTTTTCATTTGCGAATGAAAGTTGCAAATTGCTGTCATTATGACAGCTGGCGGCGGGTTCAGAATGTTTCGCAGACGTTGTGAGATTAGATGAGGGTGACAAGTATTCGGCCACCTCACCGCAGAAAGACGTCACACAGCAAGATCTATTTCCATCCCAGACTCTGGCGAAAATAGTCGCTTGAGTGCCACGTTGGGAAACGTAGGCGTGTTCAACTGTTTTCGGTCGATAATCGTTTAGTCGGAATCAAGATGAACGAGAAATAACCATAGAGTACCAATAATACCACACTCATCGCCCACGTCTTTCGATTGGATGACGTCAATCTCTTGATTCGTTACCCTTATCATTATCCTCCCTCGCAAATTCTTTCTTCCTTTTTTTTTTACACTAAAGTGGAAAATGAGTTTATGTCGTAAATCATGATCGTAACGAGCGTTCGTGACGTACACCTTTTACGGAGCAACCGCCGAACCGGATAATGAAATACCTGTCGGTTTGGCACAAAATGACGCGGGGCCTCGATTACGTCGAAATCTATCGGCTAATTCGGGACAATGTGAAATTGCGAGCTGAGAAATTGTAGGAATTGATTTCGCGCGTACCGCGAAACGCGCGATTTTGCCCTCGGGTGATTTTGGTTGCTATTTATTACTATTAATCAGAAGAATTCCAGGTATTCGGTCGAATGTAGTCTTCCCGATGGTATTTTAAATATTATTATTTAAAGGAAATATTTGTTAGACTGATAACACAATTGTCATCAATAAGATACGGTGGCTTTTATTTTTTCTACGTTTATACTACAAAAAGAGAATTTGTTGAAATATGTAAAGATTAGACTAAGTTTAACTAGCTAGAACTGAAAATAATTTTATTGGCTTATTAAAATAACTATATGTAGCATGCTCAATCTGGTTGTTAGAATGTGGAACACTCAAGGACGATGAGTAACATCGTAAAAAGTTTTGAGAATGTCAAAACTTTTTACAATATTGTTCATCACGCTTGTCCCACATAATTATTTTGATAATCTAACAAGATAATTTTCAGATTCTGATTAAACTTTTACACAGAAATAATTTGTTGACGTATCTAAAAATTTCGATAGATACTGATCAGAAAATAATTTTGTTGAACCATCAAAATACTTATTTAGGAAACTCAAGCATGTTAAGCAATGCTACAAGATGTTTCACTGAGAGAAATGATTTTGTTATAGGAATAAATCAAGGGAAAACAAATGTGATATTTGTTAAGAAAACGATAGATTAGTTACTATTACAAATTAATTATTTCTCATTCGTCAACGTAACAAATAATCAATAGTATCGCTAGCAAATAAAAGGCTCATATATATACATAGTAGACGGTCGTAGAGTCTCAAATCGTAAGAAATTGACCAATTCTAGTCAAGTATTCTCTCTACATTTGACTGTGTTTGGTCAGTT